TATTGTGTGTGCACCCTCATATTATGAGGCAGCGTTGTTCTAGAATAGGATACTCGATAGATACATCAACTTCAATGTAGGTTTTCGAAGATGTTTTTGAAATATAAAAAAAGTACTTTTTTTTATTTTGACTATATATGAATTTTTTATTCCAAGTATATATACGATTTTCTAAATTTTAGGATATACTCAATACAATTTGACTTTTTATTTCATTTGCCGATGCGACCCTTCTCTACATCGTTAGATCTACTGTACATGCACATATTTTTTATTTTTATACTACTTGATATATTTGACTTTTATTTTCACTAAAATATTGGACAATCAACAGTGTCGAAGCCCATGCTTTGCGGTGCAATCCCTGTCTACATACAATTTGACTTTTTATTTCATTTGCCGATGCGACCCTTCCCTACATCGTTAGATCTACTATACATGCACATATTTTTTTTATTTTTATACTACTCGATATATTTGACTTTTATTTTCACTAAAATATTGGACAATCAACAGTGTCGAAGCCCATGCTTTGCGGTGCAACCCCTGTCTACATCGTTAGATCCATTGTATGTGCACGCTCTGTGATAAGACCAAACTGTTCTACAGTAGACTACTCGAAGATACATCAATTTCAATATAGGTCTCTGGTAATGTTTTTGAGATATAGTAAGGAAGATGAATATATGTTGGGTTACATGTGAGAGCTTAAAAATTGCATGGAATCTTGAGCACAAGCGTCCGTGTTTTGGGGGCGCGAACCATGTCTACGTCGTCAGACCTATTGTGTGTGCACCCTCATATTATGAGGCAGCGTTGTTCTAGAATAGGATACTCGATAGATACATCAACTTCAATGTAGGTTTTCGAAGATGTTTTTGAAATATAAAAAAAAGTTGAATACATGTTGGGTACATGGGATCTTCAAAAACTATGACGAATCCATGGCACTGACATTTTTGCTTCGCCACATGATCCATGTCCACACAGTCGAATCTACTATAGCGCAGATTCGTGTGTTGAGACCAAGTAGGCTGGATGGCATGGAAGCTTTGATTTGATCGTGCATACCTGACATAACGCCCTGATGCATTTTATCATTGAAATTTACACACGTAAAGTAGTGAATTCGCACCTCACTTATCTATTTTGTGCAAACAACAGAAGAAAACTAATTCCAGATGGTTTACTTAGATTAGTATGCTTCGATAGAACCTTTGTCATGCTTTGGCACAACCTTTATATAATGAATATTAAATTATTAAATATACTAAAGGGAAATGCTGTTGCGTCTGGTTTTGAAAATGAAGTGAGTGCTCCCAAGCACCATTCTACTTGCTTGGATGATCTACTATCTTATCACATTTTCTAGTGATATGTACCCTCTTTAACCACAATGAACTGAGATCAGGATATGTTGAAAAGTCCGATCCATTCCAATAAAACACCAATTTAATTTTCAATTCACAGTCTCCTCACAATCTTTTCCCATGCGATATGCATCAACCCCTCCGTATGGTTTGCATATGAACTTGCACGCCTCTCAGAATTACACGGTGGCCATCTTCCTGCGCGACAACATTGGTCTCTATCATGACCATTTTATTTCATTTTGTATAAAATTCAATAATGAAAATGTATTGAAAAATCAGGTAGGCCTTCTTGAGCTGTTTTTTTATGTATTCTTGAGCTGTTCTTGGATGTTTAGTTGACGACATACCTACGTGTCTTGTGAACAACTGGGTCCCACCGGCTCACTTCTCCTTCTCCAGTGCGGCCCCGATAAGACGAGCAGAGCCTGGCTAGGGTTTTGGGATTTCGTCGGCGGAATCGACCGCCACCTCGTCTCCACGAGCAACCGCCGCCGCCTTCCCTCGCCCCCGACGTCGTACGCCCCGGCCACCTTCCTGGAGCTCCGCCGCCTCCCTGCCCCCTCCTCCTCGAGCACCACCGCTCTCGATCCCCACTCGCGCCGCCCGCAGATCTGATTCAGGGGTTCCCGGCTCTCCCATCCAGGGTCAGGGTCATACTCGTCGGCCACCATGCAGGTCAGTAGCCCCTGACCCAATCTCTCTTATGCTGCTTATTCTCCCCAAAATATTCGATTGGCATTATATGTGGTCTATTTAATATTTATTCTTGTCTGCTAACTGAATTGATTTTTAGTAGTATTAGCTAAAAACCCGTGCAATATATGCTCAATACCTGTCGAATTGTTGTTACATTTACCTTTTCGTATTGTATTGGTGGTTAGCTTCGAGTAGAGTAGTTGCTTTAACATGGTGTGTGCCACAATGTCAGCCTTAGAGCTCAGATGCTGTTGTATGTTTTGAATTGCACTTTCATGATGTCTGTTTTCTTAATTTGCTTATTTCGAGTAATTCTAGTAAATACAACCCGGTCATCTATTGATTTCTTGCCTTCTTTTAGCTCGCTTCAGCTTAAAGTCTTCAACTAGGTCATAGTCTTCCAATGCATTGTCGCTTTAGTAACAGCCTTTTATATTTTAACTGAATCGCTTGTCAGTTCTAATACGAATCACTATTTTAAAGGCTAGTGACAGGTTCAACATCAATTCTCAACTTGAGCATCTTCAAGCCAAGTATGTCGGAACAGGGCATGCTGACCTGACCAGATTGTAAGTATCTCATTTCTTGTTTTAAAAATGCTGTACTAGCTAACTGGTATTCTTGGTTGGGCATGGGCTGGTAAGATATTAACCATTACGTTTCCTTGTATTACAGTGAATGGGCTGTAAATATCCAAAGAGACAGCTATGCATCTTATGTTGGACACTATCCGATGTTGGCATATTTTTCCATTGCTGAGAATGAATCTATTGGAAGGGAGCGTTACGAATTTATGCAGGTATGTGTGAAAGCAATATATATTAACTTGCCTGCTGAGTTTTAGCTGCACATTGTGTACAACTGAACGAGTGTATAAAGGTTGGCATATATTACAATTAGTATCGCTATTGACTTATGTTACTTGATTGCATTAGGCTTTCACCTGTGGGATGCTCATGCTAGTCTTGCTTTTGTTAATGGAACCTCTCTTTGCATCATAACTGGCCCTTTTTAAATGGTGACCATGTACCATGAAAGTGCTGTTATAGTGTATCACAATGCAAGCTCATTAAATACCATATTGTTGCTGCAAATTGTAGCTGGGCAGGTTTCTCTACTGGGCCATAATACATCATGGTCAGAATCTGGCTTGAAGTTATTTCGTTTCCATGCTACCAAAGAATAGTGTAGTGATGTGTGACAGTTTGTGGTACTTCATGTTTATAAATATACACCAACTGAGCGAACACAGGTTTCACAACCCTTTCTTGAAGTGATATGAGAGATACTTCATGTCTAGAAATACGGTTTCAGAATGCCCAGAGTTTAAGTTTATAAGTTTTACCCCAGTATACACAAAATTATTGACATATTTGTCATCAAAGGGTTAAAAATGTAGCTTGAAGAGGTTCCACATCATCTAAATGGTTCACATTCAAATGTCAGATGGCTTTTCCATATATTGAATGGCGGAAGCAAAACACACTGGACTTAAATTGATTATTTCCGGCTTTCAAACTGATGCAAACCTTAATTGAAGGCTAGCTGGCCATATTTTGTTAATTCACATTTTTACCATCTACTGTTAAATAGGCTTCAATTTCAAAGCCATGTGTACATTCTGTGCTATGCAATATGGATAAGGAGAGCCAAGCTAGTTATCTAATGTCAGCATTTATCTTTCCCATTTTATTGTGGTATTGATCAGTGTAGTACTCTAGTATCCCAGTGTGACAGTTTCTATCTATGATGCGGTATTTGCTCTGCAATAAAAATTGTGAATAGAATTTCTCAGGTTGCAATTGCGCATGCATAGAGAAAAACACTGCTATATCTATCGTGTTGCAGGCTTGTGGTAAAATGTATAAATCAACATTTATACTCAAAATTGAAGAAAAAAAAATTCAACCTGCTCTGCCCAGGTTTTCTATTTGAATCCCTATGCTATGTTTGTTATGCTATTGATCTGTTTCTGTGTTTCATCAAATTCATTTTGTTGCCATCTGATTTAGCAAGTTTGAAGTTCTTAATGTATTTACCAGTATCTGAGGTAGTCGCCCTCCATGTGTTGTATTTGGCCATACTATATTGTCTCCATTTGCATGTTTGTCCACTTATTTATCAAGCAGCTGTATCGACGAGTATTCTAATATAGACCATGTTTCTGGTCTTGCAGAAAATGCTGCTTCCCTGTGGCCTCCCTCCTGAGAGAGATGAAGACTGAGGAGTCAGTACTGTAGTGCTACCTCCACAGCAGCTTGTGTTCAGATGATGTTTGTTACCAAAGTCTTAAGCTCAGGCACTTTGTGTGGTTGTGTTTGAACATCTTTAGCACTGTGCACCCTGTTCTTGCTTGTAGTCCTCTCTATCTCTATGGATCCTTACCCGTTCAGATTGGTTTGGTTATCCCGCTACCATCTCGTTTAAATTATGGACGCAGGTGGCTATCTTTTCTCATGAATGGGTAAATGTAATGTGATGTCGTATCTGCATCTTGCCATCTGTGAACGACTGAATCGAATTGCAGCAGAACATGTCGAAACTGCAATATTTTTGAGAGTTCATGTCGGTTTCTGAAGCAACAGCAAATTCGATGGATCTGTTTGCTGAAGTTTTTGACAGAGTCTGCCATACATATACGTGAACACTGCAACTAGTCTGAATCCAATTTTCTTCTGCCTTCTGTATCCTGATCATACCAAATGTCACTCCAGCCAGTAACGAAATCACCGTGGCATACGGTGTAATACGCGTAAGCAGTCCTAGAGAGTAGTATACGCACTGGCGGTTTCGATTTCTTGGGCCGGGTCCAGTACATCGGCAGATGGCCTGGTGGGCCGCGATGCATACACACAGGCCATCGTTTTCCTTTGCAGCGGCCCTCTCTCGCTTCATCCCCACATCCCGGCGCCGGGAGGAAAAGCTACCAGGATGCGTCTCGTCAGCCTCACCCGCGCGGCCACTCACGTCCGCGCGGCGTCGACGACGGCAACCATAGCGGCGGCGCTGAAGGTGGGCGACGCGCTGCGCCCGCGCCGGCGGCGGTTCACGGAGGACGACGTGGCGGCGTACGCGGGGGTGAGCGGCGACCGCAACCCCGTCCACCTTGATGATGCCTTCGCGCGCGGGACGGGCGGGTTCCAGCGTGGCCGCGTGGTGCACGGCATGCTCGTCGCCTCCCTCTTCCCCGCCCTCATCGCCTCCCACTTCGTGCGCTCCTTTCCTCCCCCTCTTTGCCATTCCGCCGAACGGCTGGCGGGCTTCCCACCCTGATCTGACGGCTGCTTCCTCGTGCAGCCTGGAGCCGTGTACGCGAGCCAGTCCCTCAAGTTCGCGGCGCCGGTGCACGTCGGAGACGAGGTGGTCGCGCAGGTGCAGGCGCTCCACATCAAGGCCACCGGCGGAAGGCACATGTATACTACCACCTAGCGCCATTTTTGTATCTTCTAGCATTGCGCTTCCTGGCAACTAATAGCAATATCTGTTGGGCAGCGTCAAGTTCGCCACCAAGTGCTTCATGGACGATGAGGAGACTCTCGCCATCGACGGCGAGGCCATGGCTTTTCTGCCCACGCTGCAGCTCAGCGCCGAGGCAATCGAGTGACAAGTATGTTGATTCGATGCTATGATTGATCAATTTGGAACAGGGCGACTTTTATCTCATGATGAACCATTCCGCCTTCGCATAAGCTTCGGGCCTCAGGGACATGAGATTGCAGCTTTGTTGGGAATAGCTCGTTGCAGTCTTCCTGTTATGATTAACAGCATGAGCAAAGAGTAGTATATCACTTCAGTTTTCTGAACATTCAATGGGTTGGGTGTTCATGCTGACTGTGATAGGAGCTGAAGAATTTCAACAGATTAATTTGAACCACTAGGCATACTCAGTAGATTACTTCAGTTGCTCAGTACTACTTCTTGCTGCTGCTCCATACTATTTCTGCCGCTGCTCAGTACTACTTCTTGCTGCTGCTCCATACCATTTCTGCCGCTGCTCTGTTGTGAAGAGTGGAAGATAGGAAATAACGTGGTCTGCTTAGTTCGCAAAATAACAAATCTGAATCTTGTACATTTAAACTGAAATCTTCTAGGAACTGAAGAATTTCAACAGAATAACTTGAACCACTAGGCTGTAACCTGAGAAGATGTGTTCCCTCTTTCCCTCCAAAACTGAGCAGAAGCAAGTTGTAGTACTAAGCAAAAGGGAGTAATTGACAAAAAACTACCACATTTCACGTATCCGTCCCACTGAACTACCACATTTTGAAAACTGACCAAAAACTCCAGATTAGTGATAATTTTGTGACAAAAAACTACCAGGTTGAGTTGATGATCGTTTTTATGATTTTAAACCTGTTTATGACATGCGGGACCCGCGTGTCAGAGCTGATGTGGCGGAAAAGTTACCTCCGTTTATTTCGACAGTTAGATTAACCGTTATTACAGGTGGGTCCCACATGTCAGCATCTACCTTCTTCTTCCTCATCCTCTTTCTCTCTTAAGCATTTCAACGAACACTTGGTGTTCGTACCCGCGTGGTGAAACAGAGCATGGGCACGCTGTCGAGGACGCGGAGCTCGCCCTACCGCGTCGCCGGTGGCCTTGTCTGCAAGCTCGTGGCGTTGGCCGCCGCGAGCCTGGTCGCGAACCCCAGCCTCAGGCAGCTCGCCAGCGTCTCCTCCCTGCCCTCCATCTCCCCCCGCAGTGCCGCGTCGACCAACCGGAACGCCTGCTGCCTCTTGTCCTCCCCCGCCGCCCACTGGCAGAGCTCCACGCTCGTCAGCGCTCGCCCGGCCACCAGCTCCAGCAACACCATGGCGAACTAGTACACGTCCCACTTGGTGCTCGACTTCGTCGTGTTCTTGGCCGCCTCGGCGCCCGGTAATGCGCGGCCGCCTCGGCGGAGGAGGAAGGCCCGGCGCCGGCCAACGGGCTCGCCCCTCCTCCTGCTCCGGGCGGCGGCGGCGACAGGTCGGCAGGCTCTTGTCGTGGAGGTATGCCAGGCCTCTCGCCATGCCGCGCGCGATGCGCAGCCGCGCGCTCCACCCGAGGTTCATCGGCGGCGTTCCCGGGTCCAGCAGCGGACAGGGCGCGACACCGGAGCTGGACGTGTCGTGGACGCTGGCCGTCGAGAAGAGGACGAGGAGGAGGAGCGCGCGGAGCATAGGAGAGGAGGTGCCCGTGGGCGGCGCGGGCGAGCACTGGCCTGAGGGCGCCGGAGCCGGCTTCTTTCGCGCGGAGGAGGAGGTCTTTGGCATGGACGGACCACTCCGGCAACGGGCTGGGTGGATGCGATGGCGGAGGAGCGGCGACGCCCTGCCCGACCACATGCGTGCTCGAATGATGCACATGAAGTGTTTGTTAAAATGTCAGAGAGGGAAAGAGGAGGAAGAAGAAGAATGACATATGGGCCCCACCCGTCATAACGGTCAACATGGCAGTCAAAATAAACCGAGTTGATGATTTCCGCCACGTCAGCCCTGACAAACGGGCCCCTCCTGTCATAAACGTGTTTAAACCGTCTAAAATGGCTATTTTACGAAAGTGGTAGTTTTTTGTCACGAAATTATCACTAATCTGTAGTTTTTGGTCAGTTTTTAAAATGTGGTAGTTCTGTGGGACGAATACGTGAAATGTGGTAGTTTTTTGTCAATCACTCAAGCAAAAGGAGAGCAAACAATAAGCATCCACCCCGAGGTCTTCCTTCAAAAATTTTAAACTTTATAAACAACACACTTCAGATGTCTAATGAACAATTTTACATCTGGACTCACTTCCGAAAACTCAAAATATTTCAAAATCACAGACATACCACTTCAAGGAGAAAAAACAATAGAATTGATGGCCGCCTTTAGAACTGACTAGCAATGAGACATAGAAGTATCAACGTGCAGCAGGACCAGTAGGCATTGTTGGCTCCCTGATAACATTATGCTCCATCTCAATTGTAGTGTTGTTCTGGCTCACATGGTGGACCGATCGGTGGTGTAGGCATGATAGCTCAAGTTCGGGACATCACCGCTGCTACCGCCGTGGAAGCCGTTGTTTGTGTTGCCTCCAACACGCCCATTCTCTAGCTCGACACATTCCTGCAATTGTGCCACCACGTCGGTCATGGTGGGACGCTGCACCGAGGCTTGTGCAGTGCACTTGAGTGCGATATCTGCAACCTTCCACACCCCGTTGACATCATATCCACCACGCATGCGTTCGTCCACCACACCCTCAATATTGCCCCGCGTTAGTCGCTGGTGCACCCACTGGGTTATGTTGACGGGCACCGCCTCCTGTAGGCTGGCTGGCTTTCCTGTGACTAGCTCTAGCAGTACGACACCAAAGCTATACACGTCACTCTTTGCTGTTGGCTGCATCGTCGCCTGGTACTCTGGATCAACATATCCGGGTGTGCCAATGAGTGTGTTCATGGACACGTGGGTTTCATTGTCATTGCTGAAGGCCTTGGACAAGCCAAAGTCAGCGATCCTAGCCTCCATCTTTGCGTTCAATAGGATGTTGGTTGCCTTCACGTCTCTGTGGATGAGGGGCAGGTAGCACCCCTTGTGTAGGTACTCTAGCCCTGCACATCACCAGACCAGCCAGTGCTCAGGTTATTGAGAACACTAAACATTCAATGGCAAACTTAATATAATCTGCATTCACATATGTACCCTGTGCAGATTCAAGTGCGATTCGGAGTCTCTGTGGCCAAGTCAAACATGCTCCATTGCGGTTGCTTCCTGCAAGTAGGTTGACACTGGAACATGAATATCAACTCTTTTTTTTTTCAGTTCAAAGTGCTCAGGTAATAATATATCGCCTCCCCGACCAAGCACTCGCTGGAAGTTGTTTGTTATCATCTGAAGCTCCCTGTATGTGAACTGGCGGCTCTCGAGTCGCAACGAACCATCCCCGCAGACATCGTTTACCATTGCATAGCTTGTCGTCATCGTTTACCATTGCATAACCGGTAAGGAGGGAGTATAAAGCATAGTACTCTAGTGAGTATCTTGTATCTAGTACATGAGAATGCATGCATTCAAGCCACCCAGGATGGAATTAAAGCTCCATTCATCACACCATGCTACTCAACCGGGGAGCTGTCAGTCTCTACCAAAACCCAGGACATGCTAATAACAAAGAGCAAACAAAAGACTTGGAACTAATTGAGTCAAGCACGTACGTTCATACCCGAAAAAAACCCCACATGATCTAATCGAGTTTTAAATCCTAACCTCTGTACTTCTATGTCTGCTGATTTTTCCTACCCTCTACTTTTTCACATGATAGCCTAGATGAATCAACATTGTCAACACACAGGTAATAATGCAGCATTAATATGAACGCAGGGCTCTGAATTGATACACCAGTACACCACAATTATACAGACATAAAATGAGATTTGGCAGAACAAACCACAAAAAAACGGCAGCCCCACACTTGCTAAGAGATATTCAAGGCGTGCAGGCTCGAGCCAGACACATTTAAACGCCCGACCATTGGCTAGCCCACCATCCCATTTAAGATGTCTATCACATACGTGTATTCATTTAATGTGGACTGTGCGGCTGGGACGTATAACGCGAGTATTCGTGCGGTGTGTGAATTTACGCGGCGCGTATTGCAAAAGTGCTAATAAAAGTAGCAATCACAGCGCGTCGCCGGACGGCCTCGATAACGGCAGCGCGTAGCCGCATGTCCCAAAAATTCATGTCCGCGCATATACACCCTATATAACAAATAGTAATTATCAAAAAGTAAAAAAAATGTTTTTGAAATAAACTTGACCTTCTGTTGTACTCGTATAAAAAGTTTGGGCAAGGAAGAACTTTCATGGTATTTTTTGCTGGGAAAAAAATAATATCAACACTATATAAAGTTACTATTCAAACTTTTGTCTTTGAAATATTGTTGTTTTGCCCTGAAGTTGATGTCAGTTTTTCCCTCTCAAAACTTTTTATACGGGTAGAAAAGAAGATATAGTTTATTTCAAAAAAGTTTTAGAAACTTTTGAATTTTTTCGTAATTACTTTTTTTCCCTATCAGGTATATATAAATCCGAGAAACAAAGGGTATTTGTAATGAAAATTGTAAACCCACGTTCTACATGATTTATTAATCCGGAATAAAATAAACCAAGGTAAGTAGTTCATCGCTATGAACAACAACTTGATTTGATCAACATTAGAAAAAATGAACGTACATAAAGCATGTCACCATGATTGGAGAACAATGAAAGTATTACATAATCCTTTACTGAATAGGAAGCATTTTATTAAACAATATGTTGGCCGCGCAGAGAGAAGTTGTCTGAAGATTACTGGAAATAAGATAAGTAAATTTAAGATGATAAGTTCAGTAGTAATGTTTAGTGTAGGAACAGTTGACTGTCCAGTACTGGAAGCAAGGATTTTAGGTTCTGTCATCTCCATAAATCACCGGAGTGCTGAAGTGTTAATCTTCAATTCTTGTCGCGGGCGCGAAGTGCAAAATCTGGAGGTACAGCGAGTTGAAGCCAAAAGTGACGGATACAGGTACAGAGTGTAAGAGGATTTGGCAGTTGGTAGATGAGACACTGGTTTAATGCCATGCGGGCCTGAGTCAGAAGTACAGGACAGTACGAATTGATAAATTGTAGGTGTGACAGAATATAGGAGGGAAAGTCAGAA